GGGGAAGGCGGGGGGAGGGGTGGGAACGGAGCGTGCCGGAACTGGGGTAGGGGGAACGGGGGCCGCGTGGTCGGGGGGAGGAGTAGGAGAGACGGAGGTCACGGGGTACGGGGGGCTGGTCGCGCCTTGTGTATTCGCAGCACACATTTCTACCAGTGCTCTGCAGGCTGGGAGGAGTTTAGCGGCTGCCATATCTCGGCGGGAAATGTTATTGAAAAGCTTATTACCAACTGTGTCCCAGAAATCTCTGGTAAAAAAATCTGAGTGTTTTGCGTTTGGGAAATTAACTAGAGTCCAGGTTAGGAGGGTTTTTAGTTCTCGTTTAGGCAAATTACTTTGGCTGGCTTTCAGTAAGAATTTTAGTTGCTTATACAGCTTTTTGTCTGGGGTTGAACAGTTCTGACCCATGATAGACTGGTTTGTGACTCACCTCTTATTTAAATGATGTTGGCTCGTCTCTCAGAGCTCGGGCGATGGGTGCTAGCCAGGCACCTCCCATCCGTTCTCGGGTGTCACTTAGTAATACTCGCACATAATCACGCTGCCGAGTCGTCTAAAAGCTACGTTTGGACACTGCAGCGGAAAAACTTTTAGAGAGATCAGGGTGCAGATGCTGTGGCAGCGTTTTCCCCTCGCTCGACCACGTAGAGGCTTTCCCCGCCCAGCCCAGGTGGGACGTCGCCTTGCAACGCCCCCCTGAGCTCCACGGGGGCTCCACGGAAACCAGGGGTTCAGACGCTGCTTGGCAAGCTTCACCTCGAATAAACCACGCAGGGGGGGGTGTCCCGTGTAGCACAGAAGAGATGTGGCTTCGCCACACTTCTCAGTGCCACAGGGCCCTGCGGAAACCTATGGGCTTCCCTGTATTAACATACAGTGTTGCATTTTATACTCTACAGAGCTTTACAAGTTCTTTCCTTGCTTCTTTACTTTTGGACTCTTCTTATCAGCAGAAGGACATTGTTTTATCAACAGGGATTCTCCTCTAGCTGGCTAGGCTATTGTTCTTTGGTTAACCAGTACTCAGTATCCTATAACTCAAAGCAGGCTTTCATTTCTACTTTGATTCTAGCCTTCATATTTTCACAATCTAGTGCCAAACAATCACATTCATAAGGTTTCCCTGTTTCACCTTCCCCAACAGTGCATGCCCAAAGGCTGGCCTGGGAAGTCTGTGAGCATGTCTGGCTCTGCTCTCCCTGGGAAAGACACAGCTGCTGCTGCTGGCCCTGCCCTTGATACGCCACCAGCTTCACCACATTGGACTTTCCCCACAGAGTGAAAATAATGAAAACCAGAGCCATGTCATTTTGTGGTAATAAGGCATTTTCTGCAATCCTTCACAGCCTGCCCTTCACTGCCACAGGGACTAGCTCTCGGTGGTGCCTTTAAGCCTGGCAGTAGGTTTGGTTTTTGGGAACCGCCACGTATGTTTGCTTCCCGGGGTGGGGAGGGCCCATTGGAGGTTTTCTCCCAAATTTACCCTAAACCATGACAGGGGACCTGACTACATGGGGCTGGGTGTTCATCCCACTCGTGTGCTGCAGCTATGGCAACATTGCCTTCCCAACCTCGTTCCCTAAATTAGCTGCTATTTAGGCTTTGTTTATAGCTCTGCTTAACAAACGGAGTGTTGCATGTAAAGGTTCTTATTTATTATTTGGCAGATGGGGATCTGTTAAATTCCAGTTGGAAATGAGTTGTGGGAAGATCAGGCTCTTTGCAGAAACTTCCTTCTAAAACAATGGAACAGGACCAGGGACATGGAACTCACGCACCTATGGCACTGCCCTGGGAATGAAGGACAGCAAAAATTAACTTCATAGAATCATAAAATGGTTTGGATTGGAAGGGCCCTTAAAGCTCATTATCTCAGCCCTGCCATGGGCAGGGACTCCTTTCCCAGGCCAGGTTGCTCAGCACCATACAGGATTCTGTGCCACAGCTCCCAGGTCCTGTTGTGCCACTCATGCCCTTGATGGTCTCCTGCTTTATGTATGCAGCAAATCTTGTAAGATTTCCTGTCTTTTTTCTCTTCCTTCTCTCCATGCACAGTCCATGAACAGCCACCTCTCTGCCTGCTGCTCTGTATGGAATTTTTACAGGTGTAATGTACATTTTGACAAGGATTGTGAAGGCCCGAGGGCAACAGAGATATTAATTGCACACTGAATATTCCACTCATTACAAGGACAAAGCTTCCCATTAAATAATTCACAAGTGGAAGACATGCTGAGGAAACTACCTCTCCAGAATAGTGTCCAGGCTCCCATGAGCTGAAGGAGAGTTGCAAACAAGCAACAGGCAAACGGTTTGACAGAGTTTTATTTTCTCCCAGTACCACTATGATCTATAAGCCATAACAGGCAGATCTTTCCAAAGAAGCTGTAAGAACTCGTTAATATTCATGCTTTTAAATAACGAGGCAGCAACGGCTCAGCAGCGATTATAGCCAGTAAGTTTTGATGCACTCAGCTCACATCCCTAGAGGCTCCAGCTCTATCAGCTGGGCTGCTAGGTGAAGGACAGGATGCTCTGCTCCTCTTGTCTTGCTCTGGCTTGTCTCCCACCAATCCAGCCGCTGCTGTTTTCCATCAGTCTGCATCTCTCAGCTAGTGGCTGTGCTCTAGGTAAAACCCCACTGCTGTGTTTACCCATGCAAGCCAATCCTCGAAATCTGGCACCAGGCAGCATTCAGCATGAACCTGCAGTTAATTACACCTTCTTGCTAAAATAATTGAGTAGCCTACATTCTGATTGCAGTAATTGCATCCTAATGAACTTATGTGTCAGCTTGTTGCACACAACTTTGGTGTTCCATAATATATATAAATATATAAAAATATATATAAATACCAAGTTAAGTTCATAGTTCAATCTCGAGGCACCTGAGGCACAAGGAGTCCAGAACCAACCTCTTGAATGGAGAAGGCTGGACTTGATGTTCTTGGAGGTCTTTTCCAAATTTAATGATTCTATGATTCTATTCTATAGTCACTCCAGGAGCTCAGCTGGGGGACGGCTCTGATCCAGACCTTGTCAGGAACAGAGTTGGGCTTCGCTGGACAAACAGTGGGATGTGGCTCCAGTGCTAGACCAGTGCTGGGCACCTCCTGCTCTCAGCCCCAGCTGCTGGAAAACACTGCTGATGTTCTGCCAGTCCATGCTTCCATGGACTTTCATGGGTTCCTGAAGAGTCAGAGAAGAAACTAATAAAAAAGGTTAAATTAACGTTGCTAACAGAAAAGTGTAATCCTATTGACTTCAGTGAGACTTAAAAGCAAACAGTTATGTTAACTATTAATTGTTATAATTAAGAAGATCAGATCAGAAGCCCAACCTGTGCTTTATGAAGAAAATTAAAGCTTCTACAAAAGTTACTAAAATGATGACATGCTCCCATTATGGCTCTTTACAGATCATTACTTATTGTCAATGTTGTTCATGTTTGCTACCAAAATACAAATGATAGCTTTCTACAAAACTGTGCATGTTAGTTAACCTCATTAAATCCTAAAGGATTAGTCAGCTGTTCCTCAAAGTTATGTGGCTTGGAAAGTGATTTTCTAATATGCAAACTTCAAAGGAATTTTGAAATCCTGCAGCGTAAGCGAGACAGACAAATGTTAATCCACTGGAGTGCTGCTTAATGGCCTGTTTAATTTTTGTATTGCTTGGTCTCTGTAAGCAGCTGGACATGAAGGCTGCTTGCAATTCAGCTTCCTCTTGAACCACCCCACTCATGGAACATGGATTCCTCTTCCACATGGATGACAGTGCTTGCAGGTATGGCCATGTTCCCGTGTCTTTTCCCCAACCTACAGCTATGCACGGACACAAACCCACCTGGGGAGGGACTCCCCAAGCTCACTGGTGGGTGATCACAGACTCCACAAATGGTTTGGAAGGGACCTAAAAACTCATCTCATTCTAAACCCCCTGCCACGGGCAAGAACCTCTTACCACTATCCCAGGTTCAACCACGGGATTATCCACGTACAACCTGGACTTGGACACTTCCAGAGATGGGGCAGCCACAGCTTCTCTGGGCTGCCTGTGCCAGGGCCTCAGCACCCTCACAGGGAAGAACTACTTCCTAATACCTAACCTAATTGTTTCCTGTTTTAGTTAGTGTTAGGGAGTGCAGGGAGTTTGTGCCTGCCCAGTGTATCATGCAGAATTGGGAACCCACTATCACACAGGCTTGGTGGGGACTACTCTGACTCAAATAAATAATGCTATTAACTGTGAAGTAGTGAAGGAATAAAACACACTGCATTTTGAGAGCACAAAGAACTGAAACCCACAAATTAATTAAGGTTCACAGCCCTCCTGTACAATACAGAGATGATTGCTCAGTTCACAGTTCATGTGGGATAAGAGGGAAAGGGATGTGGCACAGTGATAGCAGCTCTGTAATATAATAGAAGAAGCACAAGTGTCACTTCAGCCCCAAGAAGCTTCTCCTGCTTCCCCTGCATCTCCTGGGGCTCACAGGGGACTGGAGGAGCTGGGCTTGTGTACTCCAGTGCCGAGTAGAGTCTGGACAGAGATCCCTGGCTCTAGTCCCATCCCACTGCCTCTCCCCATTACGCCCTGCAGCATCAGCCACGTTCTGCCAGGACACTCAGATAAAGCTTGGGATCCTCACCCGTAAGTGTTGGAAGATGTTGCTGTAATGGAGACTGCCAGCAGTCAAGTCAGCAATCCAGGCTGAATAATGTACTCATTGCTGTGTTATCAGCTGGGAAACCTGTTAGTAGTAAAAATACATGAGAAGAAGAAAGGGCACATGAATGTTTAAAGGGACGAAAGCTTTCTCAAGGATGACACTTAGGCAGGCCCAGCATGAGTCTGGGTGTCAGACATATCAAAAGGCTGCTGTACGGAAGTATTTTGGTATGTCTGATATGCAGGGAGCACAGCTTTGCCTCAGGGATCTTATTTCATTCACCTGAAAATGAAAAGCATCACACCATACCCTGGAGACCAGTGAAAGATCCTGACATTGGACTCAAGGATGTCAAAAGTCTTTTCTAACCTAAATGATTCTCTCTTCTACCAAGTAAAGCAGCAGGATGAGAGGAAATGGCCTCAAGTTGCACCAGGGGAGGTTTACATGAGATACTAGGGAAAATTTCTTCACCAAAAGGGCTGTCCATCATTGGAACAGGCTGCCCAGGGCACTGGTGGAGTAACCATCCTTGGAGGGATTGAAAAAATGGGTGCACGTGGCACTCGAGGACAAGGATTAGCGGTGGCCTTGGCAATCCCGGGTTAATGGTTGGACTTGATGGTCATAAAGGTTTTTTCTGACCTAAAAGATGTCATGATTTTGTTTCCTGACTTTTATGTTAATAACAGATAGTGTCCAAACCCACAGGAGCCATCTAGAAACAGGATACGTGCTTTTTTCCTTCTTTTGTGAAAGTGGTTTTGAGGGCTGACAGTGAAAGATGAAGCACTGTGTACTCCCTCCCGTCATCCTTCAGTGAGGTTGAGCCCAGCAGTGGGACTTGAGAAGTGATATCTATAAAACAGATGTCAGTGGTAACAACTTTTTATTTGTATAGAAAATAGCTGTAAACAATTTAGTACCAGCTGTAGCTCTTGTATGGCTTTAGCGTCTGATGTCCCACACCAGTTCCTACCGGTTTCAGTGCTTGCCGCCAGGATTCGGTCCCATTAATCCAGTTTTTCTGGGCATGCCATAGGATGACATCTCTGATGAGGCCAGTGCATTCTGGGTTTTGTAGAATTCTACAAGAAGGAAAACTTCTGATACATACACTGAGAATATATTTTAAAATTTTAATGATTTTCTTTCTACCCACGTTGGTTTAAGGTTAAGGTTAGAGTTAGGGTTAAGATTAGGGTTCAGGGTTAAGGTTAGAGGGTTAGGAAAATTACGAATGGAGCAGGATTCCTCCCAGACCCAAGCCACCCCCAGCTACAACTCGGGCTGCCCTTGGAGTGCCAAACGTCTCTGACAAACCGACATCAGGAACCTGCAGAGGTGAGTTTTCTTTCCCACGGAAAAGGGGTGCCATTCACGTCCAGCGGCCGGGCGGCCGCGAGCGGGTTTCTGCGTCCCAAAATTACAAACGGAGCAGGATTCCTCCCGGACCCGAGCTGCCTCCATCCAGAACTCAGGCTGCCCTTGGACTGCCAAACGCCTCTGACAAACTGACAGTCGGGGAGGGAGGGCGAGAGGAGGGTTTTTTTACATTTTAAAAGGGCTGCCATTTGAGTCCAGGGGCCCAGTGGCTGGGAGCGGGCTTCTGCCTCCTAGAATTATGAACGGCGCAGGGTTCCTTCTGGACTCTAGCCCTCCCCACCTCGAACTCGGGCTGCCCTCGATGTTATAAACACTTCTGACAAATCAACATCACCAAAATTGTGTCGTGAGTTTTCTAGTGCAGGATTTTCCTCAGACCAAACCTCCAGCGTCTATTCATGAGTCTAACCTCAGCAACTTCACCGGACCTGGAAAATCACCTTTGGATCAGCAGCATGGGACCCAACCCACGGCACCACAACCGGCCCCTTACCAAAGCCTACCTCTGCAGTCCTAAAACTCTACATTTTCACAGGGCGTCCCCTCTGACTGACCTTAAAATATGTTGAAGTATCCTAAAATAGCTCTGAAATAGCTAAAGAATTAGCTATTCTTAAAGAATAGCCTGAAGAACTATTAAAGTTAAACCCGCGGTCCCCCCTTCCCCCGCCGACACCGTGGTTCCCGGCTCCGCCACCCCGCCCGCGCTCGGCATCGCGGTTCCCGCAGCTCAGCTCCCCTACACCCCCTCCGCGCCGTCCGCGCCGCCTTGGTGCCCCGCGGGCTCCGCTTTCCCGGCGCCCGTGGGGCCGCCGGCCCCGCCGCCGCCCACCGACACTATTCTGTGCGGTGCGGGCCGACCCGAAATTCGCGCTGCCGTCCACCACTCCCCCATGCTGCCCTACGGCGCTGACGTCATCCACGCATGCGCAGTCACCGCTTCTATCGCCGATGCTCCTGCCGATGCTCCTGCCGCTACCCACGGCTGCCCCGTGCCCGCCCGCAGCCCCAGCTTTTCTACCGCCCTTCGTACCGGCCTCTCAAGCCACGGAGGGGGAGAAAAGGGGACGGGACACCGGCTCTACAACTGCTGACACCCGCGTCGCCTCTGCCACCGCCCAGCCCAGCCACCGTCCAGTCCCCGCCCTGCGTCTTCACGTCCCCGCGTGCCCCACCGAAGCCACCCAACGCCGGCACACGGCCCCCGCCTGTCTCCGCCCCGCTGCTAACACCGGCACAGATCTCGTCAGTATCCGCTACGCCAACAACTCTCCCCGACAACGCGAAACAGCGACAGTTTTCAACTTTCCTCTTCTACCTCACCACTTCCTCTTCAGAGCCCCAAAAAAGGGATGGGTTATCAGGAAAAAAGGGGTTTAAGCTGAGGGAAAAAGCTTCCTTTTCCACAATTGCCTGTGTTCAAATTGAAGAGGAATCCACTTCCCCTGCAATTTTAATAGTCTCAACTGGAGGTAAACTGTGCTTTTTCTGTGCTGTTAGAGGTATCAACTGACAGAGACTGCCCATTTTCTATTTTTTCCCACTTTAAGTGGAACGGGAAAGCATGGATGATGCTTCCTTATGGATCTGAATTAAGGGCAAAATGCCCCCTTTTCCATCACCAGAGAGATTTCAAGTGAGGAAAACCACTCTTTTCCCCAATATCTGAGGGGTTTAAATTAAAGGGGAGAAGCCATTTATTTACCACTGTATTTGTTTAAATGGAGTTAGGTGTCCCATTTGCTCATTTTAAGCGTTGCCTTTTCCAGCATTTCAAGGGTTTAAAGCTGCATTTCAGGGCACTTCTACCCACACCCCGGCACCAAATATCTGCGACGGGAGCGAGGCCAGCAGGTATGTAATGGTAATGCCACCTGGGAGACCATTCTTTTTCTTATTTTCATTTAGAATGTAGACAGCCCTGATTAAAGGTCCCTATGAGACACCATTCAAATCAATACTATTCTTCTCCACCCTAATTAATCACAGGTGGAGTGCTACTTAGTAATCACTGAAAAATAATTATGGAAGTCCATAAATTATCCAACTTAGCTGGCAACACTGCTGAAACACAAAGTTTTTCTTCTTACCTTTTTTTTGTTCCTTTGCTCCATTGTCCTGAGTAATTGTAGCAGAAAAGAAAACATTGTTTTTTCGCAAAGAGTTTTCTTCTACGCAGAGCTCCTTACCTCAAATTTAACTCAGAGGAGCCAAACAGCTACGGTCCCTCTGAGGGCCTTTATACCCGCTGGGATTTGCCGCCTCCCCTTTCCCAGGCATCGTGGGAAAAAGAGGTGGGCCCAATTAGGGGTATATTAACCCCAGGCTGTGCTAAG